AAGATGAGTTGCTGACACTGAACCACCATAAGATGCACTCTGAACTAATCAACACAATACACAAATGGAATAAATTAAACATAAACTGGATTGAAAGATTTAATCTAATTAAATCCTTTATTTTACCCACATTTATTTTTTTATTTAGGACAATCCCACAAGCTATTCCACTGGCAATCTGTAAACGATGGCAAATTACTCTGACCCAATTTTTATGGGATAAGAAAAAACCCAGAATAAGTTTGAATATCCTAAAAAGACCTAGATCAATGGGAGGATTTGCATTACCGGACTTGTTATACAATAGAGCGATCTTAATGACCATTACACTTAAAATGCTATGAACCTCCAAAAGACCAGATTGGGTAGAAATTTGTGATGACTTATTGTTCCCAAAATCTCTAGCGGATATAGTATGGGCTCGTGGAAACATTTCCCCTACATCAAGAGATGTCATAGCAGTAATTTATCCGGCTGTTCAAAGCTGGAAGAAACGCTCTCAAGCATTATTACCCAAGATATCTAGATACTCGTCATTTCTCAATCAGACATGGTTCATCCCTGGCACTGACCCTATTTTTGTAAAAACCTGGAAAAGTAAAAATATATCTCGCATTGTAGATATTGCCAATAAACAGGGAGTTAAAAGTAAGGCAATACTAGACCAAAACTTAGGCCAAACTATACCATGGTTTCTCTACTTACAACTGAGTCATTTATTAAATTCTTTAGATATAATTCAGTTAATGTCACGACCTTTAACGAGTTTAGAATGTTTGATCCGAGATTAAGAGATGTTAAACAGAGGACTGATCTCCAAGATTTATTCAATATTGAATCTAAAATCTATTGCAACTAACCTACCTTATCAATCTGCTTGGCAGAAAGACTATGCAGCAATCCTTAATGAAGATATATGGACCAAATTTTGGAGACCCAATAGCTTCTCTACGGCAATTAGATTTCAAAACCTAAAACATATGACAAGATGGTACGCGACCCCCCAGAAACTTTCACATATATCCTCAACAATCTCTCCAAGATGTTGGAAAGGCTGGAAAAAAATAGGGGATTTTGCCCATTGTTGGTGGGAATGTATAAAAATTAAATCATTCTGGTTAGAAATTATACAGATCATAGAAGAAATTACTGCAGTTAAAATACCATATACACCAGAAGTTCTATTTTTAAACACATGGCCGGAGGAGTTAGTAGAAAGACCACATAAAGATACTATTGAGGCAATGCTGGATGCTGCCAAAACCACAATAGCGAATTTTTGGAAGGACACTAAACCACCAACGATTGAACTCTGGTATTGTAAATTGTGGAATCATTATCTTATGGACACGGTTACAAATAAACTGTGTGATACACATCAAAATTCAAAGCAGAAGAGATTTGTTGGAAAGTGGTACCCGGTGTTGGATTATCTATCTCAGCAGCAATTTATTTCCTCTGAGTGGTCCCAATTTGAAAAATGGATTTGATATATTATTTTAGCATGATTGGAGTTTATTCTAGCTTGTAAACTTTTTCTTTCTGTCAGTAAGCACCAGTAATTGTCAATTAACAAAACATTCTTCTTAGTTGGAAACTGTTTTAGTTGTATTCTGTCTTTATTTATACAACACAGTGAATTCCACTGTTATATTGTGAAACATGTTTAATGTTAACTGATATTGGATTATTCATGTTCATGAGTAAGTATTGGTCATTTTTATGTAACTGATATTGAAAGAAGCATAATTCAATGCCATACGTTTTTGGGTTAATATGTTAAACATATTATTCAAAATAATTAAAAAAGTTAAATAAAAAAAAAGAAATGAGTGTTGTGAAATGTCTATAGTTCTGAAAGTTGTCTTTTATGGTAGAGAAGTGTGGCTGAGGAATGTTTTCCAGAAAGATAGTTTAGGGCTGCATGGTTTTAGTGAAACAGGTAGGCCGGCCATTGGCATCCCCCCACCCAGACAGGCCCCAGCAGCCAAGGTAGGCCGGTCATGGGCCTCCCACCCACCCCGACAGGCCGGCCGCGGGCCTCCCTCCCCCCAGACAGGCCCCACTAGCCCAGGTAGGCCGGCTGCAGCCCTCCCACCCCCCCAGACAGGCCTCCCCACTGGCCCAGGTAGGCCGCTCATGGCCTCCTCCCCCCCAGATAGGACTT